ACTGTCAGACTGTAAAACTACACACACTGCAGATTCATACTGGATTAAAATCACTCCACAATTATTACTGTAAAACTACACACACTGCAGATTCATACTGGATTAAAATCGCTCCATCAGCAATCATTTATAAGACAGACGACCCAGGGGACACTAATCCAGCTCCTGTAGGGTTCAGATTGTCTGTATGAGTGTATGAGGTTGGCTGTCAGTGTCTCTTTCCTGTGCGTTTTGTTTACCTGTGGACTGAAGGCTTTGTGTGAATCTGTTCCTCTGGTTGTGCAGAAGGCAAATTTCCAGGTGTACGAGCGCTACTGCCAGAACAAGCCTCGCTCTGAGGCGCTGTGGAGACAGTATTCAGATTCACTCTTCTTCCAGGTACTGACTCTCATCTTCAGCTTCTTTAAGCTGCAGAACCTCAGCGCAGCAGTACACCTCCACCTGCGGCTTCACTGCACCCGCATTCACATCATTTCTATGTAGCTCTGCTGGATTTTGCGATGAAGTTCAGCAGACTTCTACTTTATGCAAATGAGTGCAGCCACCATATCGCATTTTCCCAATCAGGCAACAGAAGACCGGCCTTCATCACGAAGGAAGCTTCTGTTTATATTAAAACTAAAGCTGGGCAATATGACAATATGAAACATTATTGTGATAAATTATATCACAGCACATTTTGTAAGTACTTAAAGGGAAATTCCACCAATATTTCAAAATGTCTGCATAACTGGGTGTGTGAGGTGTAAACAGAGAGATTCAGAGACGGTTTGGTGTGAAATGGTTCAGATGTCTTTACAGTGGTGGTGATAGGAACCAGGGGTCGCCATGACTACAACACAGATATAGACATTTTATTTACTATCCAGAACCACCAGTGAACCTACACGAGTCTTCTGAGTTTATATGGAATGTTGATGATGGAAAATAGTGGAAAATCTGAAATAATAAGTTTTCTTTGGGGACTATTTTGCCTCACAGAGCCCTGCATGTATCCCTCCACCATGAATGGAGTTTAAGTTCTCTAAACTATCATAAAACAGTGTCTCAGTCATCAGGCAGTGAATTCATAACCATTTCATGTAGGAACTTTCTTTTAGAAAGCTTTTAGAGGTGGACGTCTGGTTCCTATCACCACCACTGTGAACAGTTCTGACTCAGTCAGTTTCTCTAGAACAGAGCGTTTCACACCAAACCACTCTGAACCGCTCTGAACGACTCTGAACTGCTCTGAACCGCTCTGAACCGATCTGTTTATATCATTACCATTTGACTATGCAGAAATTCTGAAAAATTGTTGGAGTTCCCCTTTAAGAACACTGAACTGCATATTCAGTGGGATTTAGAACAGCATTTAAAGTATGGGAAACATTGACTAAAACTCCTTTTATTCGTAGTTTATCACAGTATTTTTTAATTGTAATACTGATGGGTCTTTTTTTGTCTGTTCCACTAATTAAAAAACAAATGAACACTGTATCTGATTGTATCCCAGATATGTTCCTTCATTTCCACAACTGAAACATAGACACGCCCACCAGCGGTGTGGAAAAGCGCAGGTGGACGCGTAGCGTAGCTGTTCAGTGAAGAATGAGGCCTCACAGTGCTGCTGTCCTCTGTTTGTGCAGCAGTGTCAGAGAAAGGTGGAGCACAAACTGGGCCTGGATTCATATTTACTCAAACCTGTTCAGCGTCTGACGAAGTACCAGCTCCTGCTGAAGGTGCAGAACTAGAGATACTCTTTAGTCTCTCGTTACTATTGGAGACTCCTTTTCTCTCCGTACTGAGCTCTGAGACTGATTTCTGTTTGTATGTTTGTGTATTTGTGTGTGTGCAGGAGCTGCTGAAGCACAGCACAGACTCTCCGTACGCCTCCGAACTGCAGGGGGCGCTAAACGCCATGCTGGACCTCCTCAAGTCTGTCAATGACTCCATGCACCAGATTGCCATCACAGGCTATGAGGTGTGGAGTAAATGGTTTAATGTACTATAGTGTGTGTTAAAGGGCCCATTCAGCTAGAAACTTGAATTTCTGGCACTTTTTTTTTTTTACATAAAATATGTATGTAGTAAGTAAATATTGTTGAAGTACCACTCGCTCCCTCATCCACACAGTCTATATATGGAAACTAAGCTGCAAAAACAGCTACATTTTGGTTGTGATGTTATAAACCCATTTACACACGACAGCCCATTCAGCTACAGCAGTTTAGCCCCACCATTCAGCTACAGCAGTTTAGCCCCACCATTCAGCTACAGCAGTTTAGCCCCACCATTCAGCTACAGCAGTTTAGCTCCACCATTCAGCTACAGCAGTTTAGCTCCACCATTCAGCTACAGCTGTTTAGCTCCACCATTCAGCTACAGCTGTTTAGCTCCACCATTCAGCTACAGCAGTTTAGCCCCACCATTCAGCTACAGCAGTTTAGCTCCACCATTCAGCTACAGCAGTTTAGCTCCACCATTCAGCTACAGCAGTTTAGCTCCACCATTCAGCTACAGCTGTTTAGCTCCACCATTCAGCTACAGCAGTTTAGCTCCACCATTCAGCTACAGCAGTTTAGCTCCACCATTCAGTCTACAGCAGTTTAGCTCCACCATTCAGCTACAGCAGTTTAGCTCCACCATTCAGCTACAGCAGTTTAGCCCCACCATTCAGTCTACAGCAGTTTAGCTCCACCATTCAGCTACAGCAGTTTAGCTCCACCATTCAGTCTACAGCAGTTTAGCTCCACCATTCAGCTACAGCAGTTTAGCCCCACCCATTCAGCTACAGCAGTTTAGCCCCACCCATTCAGCTACAGCAGTTTAGCCCCACCCATTCAGTCTACAGCAGTTTAGCCCCACCATTCAGTCTACAGCAGTTTAGCTCCACCATTCAGCTACAGCAGTTTAGCCCCACCCATTCAGCTACAGCAGTTTAGCCCCACCCATTCAGTCTACAGCAGTTTAGCCCCACCATTCAGCTACAGCAGTTTAGCTCCACCATTCAGCTACAGCAGTTTAGCCCCACCCATTCAGCTACAGCAGTTTAGCCCCACCCATTCAGCTACAGCAGTTTAGCTCCACCCATTCAGCTACAGCAGTTTAGCTCCACCATTCAGCTACAGCAGTTTAGCCCCACCCATTCAGCTACAGCAGTTTAGCTCCACCCATTCAGATACAGCAGTTTAGCTCCACCATTCAGCTACAGCAGTTTAGCCCCACCCATTCGGCCTACAGCAGTTTAGCCCCACCCATTCAGCCTACAGCAGTTTAGCCCCACCCATTCAGCCTACAGCAGTTTAGCCCCAGGCTACAGCAGTTTCAGCAGCACAGTAAAGGACAACCAGTCAGAACAGAGTTCATTTACATGTCACTCTTAAAGGCACAGTAACAAAAATAGCCGGTATGATTCTGTATGAATTAAGTGAGATTGGGAAGTGACAGATAAAAGCTAATCGTGGTACATAAACCGAAACATGTAGCATATCAGCCCTTTAATCTGCAAACAAGACGATGCAGCTGGAGGCAGCCTGTAACAGCTGTGTGTATTAGCTGTGTGTTGTGTCTGATCTCAGGGGGAGCTGAGTGATCTGGGCCGGGTGCTGATGCAGGGCTCCTTCAGCGTGTGGATGCGTAAAGGTTTGATGCGCGTGAAGGACATCGCACGCTTTAAACCGATGCAAAGGCACCTGTTCCTGCACGAGAGAGCCCTGCTGTTCTGCAAGAGGAGGGAGGAGAATGGAGACCAGACGTTGTACAGCTTCAAACACTGCCTCAGGGTCAGATACACAAACACAGCCTACATCCTGCCAACGAACGCTCAGCATCTTGGAGGGTTAAAGCCATAGTTAGCCCTGTCCATTCAGTCTACAACAGTTTCACATCTAATCCCCCCCAGTTTTCTCCCACTTACCTCACATCCATCAGACAAAGTGCCTGTAGTTTTGGCACTAGAGCTACAAGGCTAATATAGATAACAGGTAATGGGAGTCTCCAGTGTTTTGGTGAAGTCAGCTTCCCTATTCACCAGCTTCTCATTCTGATTATTCTGTTCCACCTTAAATGGTACAGCAGTTACGTTCCGGTGCCTCAGGGAACAGAACGTTCCTCTTTCGTCACAGTTAGAGCACAGATTCAATCACTTTTAACGACATGCAAACTACTCTGCGTCTGATTCGTGAAACTCTGAGTGGAGATTTGAGCTCAGATGATGAATCAGCTTCAGTGCAGGTCTAGGCGGTATGACAATACATATCATTATTATGATAAATTATGTCACAATACAATACAGTCTGCTGTTCTGATCATATTGTGTTGTCAGTGCTTGCAGAAACCGACCAACTGCATGATTCATTATAAAGAGAGAAAATTAGTCAGTTTAACTGGATTTAATGACAATAACTGAATATAAATCACAGTTTTTGATAGTATTTTTTTTAAATGTAGCACTACTCGTTCTTTTTTCTCTGTTCCAGCTGATCAGATGTTAAAGTATCGCGATTTTATATTTTTGGCATATCGCCCAGCTGTAATTTAGTGTGTGAAATCAAGCGCCAGCCTAACAGCACCTCATTTACATCAAGCATGTCCCAATTCACACAGATAGTTCAATAGGGAGCCAATAAAACGACAGCATTCAGTGGCTCATGGGCCAGTTGCTGTGCTGGTAGGCGGAGTTTGAGGTGGAGTGATGAGTGCACTGCGCCCCCTACTGTCCAAACTTTATAAGGTTAAAATTACAACCACTGGAAAGAATAAAATTTGAAATAAACTAAATGTCTTAAGTGTTTTAAGACTGTAAAACAAGGTGATTGTGATTATTTTCCTAAAGTATCATATTTAAAGGCTGTATTATTGCAGTGTGTGACACAGCTGTGTTTTCTATTGTTTGTTTTGTGTCAGTAGTATAAAAAAGAAGCACAGTGTCTTATAATAGAATAGAATAGCTGCAGCATTTGTTTATCAGATTTAACCGTACGCAGCTTTGTTGAATAAGGGCCAGTGTAACTTCTGCACCATTTAAGGTGGAACGGACGTTAGCTTAAGAGTGTGCGTTGAGTCGTGCTGAGTGTGCTTCCCTCTGCAGATGAGCGCTGTGGGAATAACGGAGAACATTAAAGGAGACGTGAAGAAGTTTGAGATCTGGTACAGCGGCCGAGAGGAGGTGTACGTGGTGCAGGTGAGCTTGCGCTGATCGGTTAGCGTTACTGCTACTGAGCTCTGATCGATTATTGTTACTGCTACTGAGGGCTGATTGGTTATCATTACTGCTACTGAGGGCTGATTGGTTATCATTACTGCTTCTGAGTGCTGATTGGTTAGCATTACTGCTACTGAGGGCTGATTGGTTATCATTACTGCTTCTGAGCGCTGATTGGTTAGCATTACTGCTACTGAGGGCTGATTGGTTATCATTACTGCTACTGAGGGCTGATTGGTTATCATTACTGCTTCTGAGTGCTGATTGGTTAGCATTACTGCTACTGAGCGCTGATTGGTTAGCATTACTGCTACTGAGGGCTGATTGGTTAGCATTACTGCTTCTGAGTGCTGATTGGTTAGCATTACTGCTACTGAGGGCTGATCGGTTAGCGTTACTGCTACTGAGCGCTGATTGGTTAGCATTACTGCTACTGAGGGCTGATCGGTTATCATTACTGCTACTGAGGGCTGATTGGTTATCATTACTGCTTCTGAGTGCTGATCGGTTAGCATTACTGCTACTGAGGGCTGATTGGTTATCATTACTGCTTCTGAGTGCTGATTGGTTAGCATTACTGCTACTGAGAGCTGATTGGTTAGCATTACTGCTACTGAGAGCTGATTGGTCAGCGTTACTGCTATGCAGGTTGCATAACTGTTTAAACTCTTCAAGCTTGCACAGTGATGAAGGTCCCTAAGAAGGTCATAACTGCCTCTCTAATTGGATATAATTGCTTTTTTCTACATTCTACCTTAAAGGAACTTCTATGACTTCTATCTGAACCTGAAAAAGCTGGTGTGGCCGCAGACTTTGATTCCAACAAAACGAGAGCACAGCTGAGTCTAGTTGATTGATCAGCTGCTCTCTTCTTTGTTGGAATGGAAACCTGCAGCCACGTTGGCCCTTTGTTTACTCTCTATGTTCTCTCTGTTGGTAAACTCAGAGGTTTAGAGGCACATGTCCGCAGAGTTCTGCTGACCTGGGCTTAAACCCAAAAGACCTTTAAAGACCTTTTAGTGAAGATTTTCCATTTAAGCTGCTCAAGCTCTGCTTACGTAGCAACTGTCTGACCATTAAACCCAGCAAGGTCACTAAAAACAGTCCAGGAGGCAGTCTTAACTTCCATTTCTCAGAAATGTTCATACTGAGCTGAAACCAGCCACGTGTAGCTGAACTGATCTCCTCAAAGACCTGCTCTCAGCATGATGGTGGTGCTATGGTCAGCCTGACTGTGGTACTAGGTTCAGTGTGAAGGTGGGGCTGTGTTTAGCCTGATGGTGGTGCTGCATTCAGCCTGACGATGGCGCTACTTCAGCCTCACAGTAGCGCTGCATTCAGGCAGATGGTGGTGCTGCATTCAGCTTGATGGTGGTGCTATGTTCAGCCTGTTGGTGGTGCTGCGTTCAGGCTGATGGTGGCGCTGCGTTCAGGCAGATGGTAGTGCCGCATTCAGCCTGACAGTGGTGCTGTGTTTAGGCAGATGGTAGTGCTGCATTCAGCCTGACGGTGGCGCTGTGCTGTGTTGTTTCTCCTCAGGCTCCGACGGTAGAGGTGAAGCTGGCGTGGCTCAGTGAGATCAGAAAGATCCTCACCAACCAGCAGAAGAGCCTCCAAGGTTCAGAGACTTTCCGCTACTTTGTGTTTATTTGTGCTTGAAAATTCATTATTCATAAAATTTACATAAATGATGTTGGAATATGAATTACTTCAGACTTCACACAACAAAACACAACACAACAAAACAATAAAACACAACAAGTGAACAGTAAAGTAAACAAAGTGTTAAAGTCACTGAATAACAGATAACTGCGCCATCTGCTGGTTGTGTTAGAAACACTTGCACCTTCATTCATTTCTCTGTGGGGAAATTTCTGATATCTGATTAATTTTGTTCCATACAATCAGCAGCTACTGATACAGTATAATAGCAGAACATTTCACTAAACCACATAACTGTGAACAGTGAAATACAGCTGAACTACAGAATGACACCAACACAGTTTGTAGTCCATTTTGGGGAAACATTCATTAAAGCTGTATTTCTGTCTTTCACTGTTAATTAATTTATTTAGATTATTGATAAAGTGTGAAATATATCTGAATATGGAGCAACACAGCACGTTACACTGTACAACCTGCAATAAGCATCACCTTCAGCATCACCTGCAGTTCATTTTAAATGTACGTTTTGCAATGCCAACAGCAGGGGGCGCTCTGACCACTCTCCTTCACTACAGAGATGATGAATGGCAACAGCAGAAGTGATAGATTATTTATATTTAAGACACAAAAACACAACAATAAATAAGTATGAAATCGATTTTTAAATTACACAAAGTTGATTTTATTAAAAAGTGTTTCTTTAATTTGACAAATTTTGGTTAAGCTGTGTTTCTTTCTGACCGCTGCCTCGCGCTCTCTCTCTCTCTCACTCTCTCTCTCTCTCTCTCTCTCTCTCTCCTGTAGATAATGGTCACTCTGGTGTGGATCAGCCTCTCTCTCCTCCTTTAGCTGACAGGTGAAGCTCAGTGCAGCTGAGCGTTTCTCCTCTTCCTCGTCTTCCTCCTCTTTTCAGATTCCTCTGTAACTCTGTCCGTCTGAACTCACTGAAGACCTCCTGACTGACCATCTCACATTTGCTCGACACTTTCATGAAATTCTGTCTTTGTGCCCAACTGATAGTGTGCAAACGTTTAGGCTTGTATCATCGTTCGTTTCTGAGCTATAGAGGCTTTAAAAGTGGGCGTGGCCTAATTCTACCTTAAATGTGTAATCAGAGAGATTCAGAGTGGTTTGGTGTGAAATGGTTCAGATGTCTTTACAGTGGTGGTGATAGGAACCAGGGGTCGCCATGACGTTTCACACCAAACCACTCTGAATTACATCTTAACCATTTAATTATGCAGAAATTTTGGAAAATCTCTCCTTTTTAACCGTTGATGCATGAAATTTTCAGGATTGTTCTTTGGTCTAAAGTTTGTTTAACTAACAGACACAGACAGATAAGCATGTTTGTCAGTTTTTTTTCTGGCCTGCTGAAAATCCAGAAGGTGTTTTTTGTGCACTGGAGGGTCTTTGGTCCTCTGTATCTCCACACTGAAGCACTTTAGATCGTTCAGATTGGGTATTTATTACTTTGGTATGTGTCACTACAGCTGGCATGTAGGTTTGACAGCAGCATGTGGTTTGGAGGTCCGAGCCTCGGGACCGTACTGTGAATGTAAATGTGTTTAATGAAACAGGTTTGGGGGGAGTTTCCGTATCAATTCAGCCAGTGCATGAAAATAACATATAAATTCTGTAAATTTAGTGCGCAGTGGAGGTTAACAAGGGACACAGAGGAACACAACCTTCAAATATGTTAAATATGGTTTAAAAACAGATAAACGTTTATTAATGTTACAGTTAAATGATCTGAGTCTTCAGGCGACGTCCAGGTGTTCAGACTGAGCTGAAAGATTTAGGATTTTTACATACACATGATTACTGTACGGAGTATCTATTACTGAGTAATTGTTTTGACAATTAATTGAGAAATTGAAAATAATTTACTGAAAGATATAAAAAGGAAACACTTAAAAACCATTCTGTGTAACGCTTTTAAAGTCATTTTTTAATGCAGCTTGAGAAATGTTAAAATATCTTTACTGCTGATTTGGGCTGTGCTGATTTTCTATGGGACTTTCAATGTTATTTTAGCTTAATTTCTCACCAAAGGGTTCAATACTAAGTCCAGCTCTATTTAAACACAGTCATTTAAAGCATTAGAAGCTCATAACAGACATTTAGTCTTTTCTCTACATGCGGTTTTACAGTGAATCATCCTGTAAAGCCCAACTATTACTGGTTTCAGTCTGTTAGCTGTCTGTTAGCCAAGATCAGGGGTCGCAACCCCATTTTGTTCTTTCAACAAAAATTAAACTACTTTGGGAGCCACAACATTTTATGTCCATTATACCGTCTTAGCTGTAAATCTGTCTCAGTATGTGCTGATGTACTGGTAAAGACTAAAAATATAATATAACAAAAACACAGACTTACTTTGCTCTGCTTTCAGCTTCAGCTCAGCTACAGCCGCTTTTCTCACATCTCCAATAAAGTAGAAGTCCTCAAAAGTTGAACAGTTTCTTGTAAAATGTCTCAACATTCGACTTTTTACAAGGCTGAAGTCGCTTCTCATTCACCAGCTTGTTGTTCGAATTTCCCCATTCCACTTTAAATGAACAGAATATAACTGCTGCACCATTTAAGGTGGAACGGGACAATTCGAACAAGAATCGACAAGACTTTTTTGCATATATGTTTAATACTGTACATACACAGAGATGAGCTCTCAGATGACGTGGTTTATTAAATATGTACTTGGCAGTTCAGGTTTTAAAGTTTCGCCCTTGTGTCTTATTAACCTCCACAGAACCTCCTCCACAAAAATCAATGACAGTAACTTAATTATTTGTCAAATATTTGGTCTTTAAGTGAAACCCAGTCCTTTCTGAAGTTCACCGTTATACTGTGTATTTGGTTTATTTAGCTGTGTAAGTTCAGTATCAGCGCAGATGCAGAGAATGATATGAACTGTAGAGATTTATAGGAGAACCCTGTTCTGTCAGTGGCTGTTTGAATCGGAACGTTCCCCCAGTTCTGTGTCAGAGTTCCTGCCTGTGACGGTGTTTTTGTTTTTGTTTTTGTTGTTTTTGTTGTGTTCCTGCCTGTGACGGCGTGTGATGTTGTGTTTCTGTCCTGTGGTGTCCGGCGCTGCCTCTGGGGGGCAGAGTGGAGAGAGTGTCCGTCTGCATGCCCTGGAGCTCCGCCCACATCGCTGGCTGCTCAGGTTGTTTTGATGTCGTTCCTCACAGTAAGCCGCAGGGGGCGCCAGCGAGCTCAGAGGAGTCGGACCGCACCAGTCCGGTTCTGACGGACCCCGTGGTATTCTCCCCCCGCCCACAGCAACACAACCGCCGCAGTGAGTGCCTGACGGGGGCAGCGTGGGGCAGTCTGGGGCTGACTGACCGCTGGAGTGGTTTGGGTCTTTGGGCAGGTTGGAGACTTTTTGAAGCTTTTAGGACAGTTTGGGCTCATTTGGTGTGATTTAAGAACGGCTTAGGACTGTTGAGGGAGTTTGAGACCATTAAAGCATTTTGGTCTTGAGGAATGTTTGGGACAAATAGGGAACTTTTTGGGCCATTTGGGGCGGTTTGGAATTATATGGAGTAGTTTGGGGCAACGTGGACCATTTGGGGCAGTCCAGCATTTTATGGGGTAGGCTGGGGCTGTTAGAGACTGTGTGGGTAGTTTGGGCCATTTGGGGCAGTTTGGAATTGTATGGGATAGTTTGGAACCGTATAGGGTAGTTTGGGAGTAGTTTGTATGGAGTATGGAGTAGTTTGGGCAGTGTGGGCCATTTGGGACAGTTTAGCGTTTATGGCAAGTTGGGGCTGTTGGAGACATTTGGAGCAGTTTGGGCCATTTGGAACAGTTTGGAACTATATGGGGTAGTTTGGGGCAGTTTCGAACTGTGAAGGGTAGTTTTGGCCATTAGAGGTAGTTTGAGATTTTTTGGGGCAGTTTAGCTATATTAGACTTTTGGGGTAGTTCAGGCCAATTTGGGGAAGTTTAGCAATATATGGGGCAGTTTGGGGCTATTTGAGACTGTTGGGATAGTCTGAGCCAGATGGAGCAGTTTTGGGCTGTATGGGGCAGGTTGGGGCTATTTGTGATTATTGGGGTAGTTTGGGCCATTTGGGACATTATGGAATTATACACATCTATGAGGGCCTGGGGCAGTTTGGAATTGTATAAATTAGTTTGGGGCAGTTTAGGACATTTTGGGGCTTTTAAGACTGTTGAGGTAGTTTTGGAGATTTTGCAGCAAGTTGAGGCAGGTTGGAACACGTTTGGGCATTTTGGGGAAGTTGGGGCATTTGGGACTTTTGTTTTGTGAGGTTAATGCAGTAGAGGATGGCGAGCGAGTGAGGATGAAGGGACCAGCGCAGCCTCTGGTTTATTCAGAAACTTTTATGTCTTTATGGGTTCAGAGTCGTCCTTCTAGAACCGAGCTGGGATGAAGGGCTGTAGTTCTGTTGGTTACGGACTCTGAGGACCTGCTGTTGTGTTTCAGGCTGGCCCGGCACCTCCAACTCGGTGGACATCTGTGAGGGCCTGGAGGACTGGACCACCGACCTGTCCTTCATCTCAGACTCTGAGGAGGAGGACGATGCTCTGCTGGTGAGTGACAGGCTGCAGGCAGGACCAGCTGGGTGTTAATTAGTTACGGGTGAAATGCAGTAATGTAGTCGTGAAATGTTGAATTATGGGTACAAACACACACTGGTCATCAGAACAGTTGGCGTTCCTCAGGTTCCTGGAAAGTACCGGGCGATGGTGGACCACTTAAAGTGCGGCAAAGACGACCTCGTCATAAAGCACGGTGATGTGATCCACGTACTGCAGGAGAACGCAGCAGGACTTTGGTCAGTCCGTCATTTAGAATTTATTATTTTATTTCTGTACATATTAGGAATTTTTTGTTGTTAAAATGCTGTAAAAGTGTTTTCAGGATTTTGGGAAATGTGAATGTAAAGAACAGAATAAACTAAAGAAGTGTTTCTGCACCTTTAGGCAAGTTAAAAACCTGACCCGAGGAGGAGAAGGGAGACTTCCTGTTGACACCCTGCTGAGAATTCTGGGAAATGTAGGCAGAAATCATATGATTAGACCGGGTGGTGAGTTCATGGTGAGTCAAAATTTAGTCAACATGATAATATTGGTTAATCTGAATTTGTGATAATCTGTGATTACTCTGATGTTCTATGATCTCTCAGATGTTCTGTGATCTCTCAGATGTTCTGTGATCTCTCTGATGTTCTGTGATTTCTCTGATGTTCTAGGATTTCTCAGATGTTCTGTGATCTCTCAGGTGTTCTGTGATTTCTCTGATGTTCTGGGATTTCTCAGATGTTCTCTGATTTCTCAGATGTTCTCTGATTACTCTGATGTTCTCTGATTTCTCTGATGTTCTCTGATGTTCTCTGATTACTCTGATGTTCTCTGATTACTCTGATGTTCTCTGATTTCTCTGATGTTCTCTGATTTCTCAGATGTTTTCTTACTTCTCTGATGTTCTCTGATTGTTCTCAGGCTCGGGAGATATGAAGAGCAGGAACCTCAGCACCTGATGATGGATCATCCATCTCTGATTAAAACTCTACATAAGAACCATCAACCGCGCTGAAGGAACTTTATCCAACACTGGGATTCTCCCCCACCTGCACACAGAGATTAGTGAAGAACTACATCAATACATGAATAGGTTTGATTTCCTCTCTCGATCATCGCTCTTCATCGGTGAGGAGGCTGGATGGAAAACTGCAGATGTTCATCTGAATGTTTCTGAGGCTTCAGTCTTCAGCTCCACAAGCAGTTCAGCCTTTATGGAGCACAACCTGATCCATTTCCACACGGGAGACATCACCATCACCAAACAGTGCCAGAATACAAAGCTGTAAACTTTACACTCATTTACATCCATGACAGACCATACAAGCTCAGCTTTGAAGGGGAACCCCACCATTTTTTCAAAGTTCCGGCATAATTAAGTGGTTAAGATGTAAACAGAGTGGTTCAGAGTGGTTTGGTGTGAAATGATCTGTTCTAGAGAAACTTACGGAGTCAGAACTGTTCACAGTGTAGTGATAGGAACCAGGCCCGGATCATTCCATGGGTTTCATGTGTGCGTGCACAGGGGACAAAGCCACTAGGGGGTAATTATGAGAATATCTAAACATGTTGGAGCTGGTCTCACTCACTTGTTGGAATATGAAGGCCAAAAGCTAAGCAATAAATTTAGGATTTTACGTGATTTTCTGAGCCGAATTACTCACTGATGCTGATGTCACATCTCAGTGACGTCATGCTAGCTCGAGTGGGCCGGGTCTGATGGATGTTCTAATATGTGGATCATGTCTTTAGCTTAAACCGTTCTGAAGTTGTGAAGCCTAGAATTCAACTACTTCGGACTTCGGGTTAAACGCATGTCTTTCCTAAACATCTGCTTCATTTCTTTCTCCAATCACTGCTTAGCAACCATTACACCCGTACAACCGTTTGCCATTACCTCAGTCAAGTTTTAGGTTATTCAGTGAGTGTTTCGTTGAATATACTTTGAATCTGAAGCTCCAGATGTCCAATAGATGTGCCTGAGGGATCTGTACAAGTGTGACCTGATACTCCGACAGAGTAGAGGATGCCCATTTCCAAAATCAAATCCGGAGTTAAATAAAAAAAGCCGCATTGTCTTTGCTGGCAGTGATCTGTGAACTGTCTACTTCAGCGCATAAAGCCATCAAAGGTAAAATATAAGTAAAAACAGTGAGTTTTTTAAGTGTGTTGCTTTCTTCCATCTTTATTATGCACATTTCATCTGATTTTAATTTATGCTGTCTTCATTGAGATAAATATTTTGCCAGCCAAGAGCGGATCATGCTTTATGAAATGTTGGATTGGTTGTGACCTGTGCTCTCGTTAATGTGTAAGTAATCTTGCTATTGTTTTGTGCCACTTGTAAAAAAAATGCTTATGGCGGTTAGTATGCTACTGTTGTGGTACTGCACAACCCTCATGTATCCTACTGTGATATTGTAAAAAATTCCCTGACCATCCAACAAAGGTAGCCAGGAAGGGTCCCACCAAACATTTGTGCCCGGGCAGCTAACTAACTGATCCAGGCCTGATGGGAACCAGACGTCCACCTCTAAAAGCTCCCTCACAGAAAGTTCCTACATGAAATGGTTATGAATTCACTGCCTGATGACTGAGACACTGTTTTATGATCGTTTAGAGAACTTAAACTCCATTCATGGTGGAGGGATACATGCAGGGCGCTGTGAGGCAAAATAGTCCCCAAAGAAAACTGATTATTTCAGATTTTCCACTATTTTCCATCATCAACATTCCATATAAACTCAGAAGACTCGTGTAGGTTCACTGGTGGTTCTGGATAGTAAATAAAATGTCTATATCTGTGTTGTAGTCATGGCGACCCCTGGTTCCCATCACCACCACTGTAAAGACATCTGAACCATTTCACACCAAACCGCTCTGAATCTCTCTGTTTACACCTCACACACTGAATTATGGGGGAATTTTGGTAGTTCAGTGGCGTTCGCCTTTAAACACGCTGTGATGATGTGTAGGAGATGGAGATTTTCTCCTGGTCAGTGAAACCGAGCAGGTCAGAATGTCATTAATATTTTCTTACTGCTGTGTGAGGAGAGGCAGTTCACACTGTAAATGAACTACTTTGTGTGCCAAAATTTTACATTCCATAACTCATTCAGTCTTTTCTAATCAGTTTTTATACTTTGGTAGGTGTTTCATAGCTTCATACTCTCGTCTGGGACTGAATACAGTTATAAATCCTGCATTTTCTCGGTTTAGTTTAGTTTGACGCTCCTGTGCATGACGCGCCACAGTTTGCCTTCAGCTGTACAGTCCTCACTCTCATCTACCAGCTCTCTGTGAAGTAGGCAGTGAACTGAGAAGAGTCATTAAAGAGGAAGTCCAGAGTTTTTCATCCTGATCTCCATCTGCTGTATCTGTACCGCAGAGCTGGTCCTGACCTTCCTGGAGTCCTGAGCAAAATTCTGCAAAGGGGTCCTCCAGTAAAACTGGATTTGCTGAATATTTGATGGTTATTAAATACTGAGAGATGTGCGTCCATATTGCCCAATATGTCCAGCCAATAAAGTAATAAGCCAAGAGGGGCAGTGCGTTACTGCCATTTTATCAGGAGAAGTGTGTTCTTAGACACATCGCGAAGAGGAGTAAAACCCGCTTCCCCATGATAAAATCACTGTAATGCACGGCCTCAAGTGGCTTATCGCTTTTATAAAATGGCGGCCAACATAAAATACACACTTTTTTCAGAAAATAATGTAAATTATTATTAATAATAATCGACATAAAAAAGTATTCCACCAAGAAATGTAGTTCCTTTAGAGTACGGTATCGTTGCCAAGCAACCATGGACCGCTGAATGAGGAGAATGTTTGGTCGACCATCACCATATACTACGGTCATTTCATGAACTTTTAAGTTTTTGTCATCTAATAATGAACATATGATAACACAGCACTGTTTTAGTACTTTCTGGTCATCAAATTACCACTGCGGGTCTTATTTAGCACCAATCCAGCGACGCCGCTCTTCTCACGCTGGGGCTGAACTTCCCTAGCGCACTATTTAGGGAGTGTGGAGCCGTTTGGGATTCAGTCTGGGTTTGACGTGACTTCTGACTGCAACACTGACTGAATTTGAAATGTGTAAAACATTCAAGTGACATTCTTTAGACTTTATATTGCAGTTTTACAGTGAATCACACCGTCGCAGATTATCCATTAACAGCACGAGGATTTTTTGTAGTGCAGTGATACAGAGGTCAGTGATACAGAGTGCAGTGATACAGAGTGCAGTGATACAGAGGTCAGTGGCTGTGAGGTGGTCAGTGAACATCAAGTATTTTATAACAGCTCTGAATGAGGCTCAGCCAATCAGATTTTAGAACCAGAACTGTCCGTTTAACATTTTATAATAAACGTTTTAAACTCAGTATTTAATCAGCCCATTGAGTTCTGTGAATAAACACGTGAAATAAACGATTGATTGTTTATATGATAAATGAATGATTGTTTAGATGAACGTTTAAAGAACTTTACAGTCTGAAGCAACACAGTAAGAAAGGCTCTAAACTCTAGAACTCATGAAAGTGTTTCACTTAAATGTTTATAGAACTCAGCATCTGCCCATTTGACCTCTATGTGAGTTTAGAGTCAGTGAGTTTGTAGTAAGTTCAGTGAAGTGTGTTGAAGTTGTCTGCGATAATAAACTGGTACAGATTCAGCAGATAGAGATCATATTAAAAACTCTGAAATGTTCCTGTAACTCTCAGACACTCAGCGCTGATATAGACGTGTTTATTCCGATGTTTGGACTCTTCAGTTTGGATTCTTCTGCTGTTCTTTTATCTCAGGTGTTCACTTCGCTAGTTTCGCTGTAAGCACTTAGCTTTAGCTAGCTTAGCTGCATGTGTGGCACAAAGCGCTTCATCATCTCACCTGCTGGACTGTGTGGAAGCTCGTTTAAACCAGACTGACCGCCGCCTCACGTCTTTACACACTTCTGACGGCAGCGCGTACAATTATAGACTTATTATAAGGAAAATTTACACTTTATATCTCAAAATAATGACTTTTTTCTCAAGATCCTGACATACTATGTCAAAATAATTATTTATTTTCTTGAAATGTTGACTTATCTCGAGATTTTTCACTGAAAGTGGCTTATTTTTTCAAATTCACAATTCAAGACTTTTCTAAATTTTGACTTATGTTGCAGAAATGATGTTATGAAATTGTGGGAAAGCAGATAATTATAATAAGTCTTTTTCAGATAAGAAGTTGTAATAGTTGTAGTTCTAAGTTCTGTTGTAATTGTTTTGATATATTACATAAAATATTTGAGAATATTTGAAAAATATCTGAGCAAATAATCAAAATTTTGAGATACAAAGTCAAAATATACAAAATCAAATTTTGAGATTTGTCTGAGAAAATAAGTCATTAATATGAGATAAAAAGTCAATCGTTTGAATAATAGGCTGAGCTGTTTTGACTCACTGCTGCTCAGAGAAGCAGAGACAGACAGAGGGGCTGATCGTCTCACTGAGCTGGTGTAAACAGGCTTTTACAGAAACACGTGTTTTATCACCTTCTGAACTTTTCAAAGCCATACGTGTAGAAATGAATGTACAGGACGAGCTGTGAACACGGACGTGACCTCATGTTAATACAGTAAACAGTGTATGAAATGTATTTCACTGGACATTTAAGCACAAATGAATGATGGAGGAGTTATTATTTTCTGATTTACAGTTTGTCTGTTGAACGATTGTTAGTAAACATGACAAATCTGAACAGAGAAAAATGTCAAAATGTGTTTATTGTGCCAAAAGCGTTTACTGCACTGTCCTTTTCCTGGACGTAGAGACAGTGAGGAGCCTATAGCTGCAGTGTAGCGTTCAGTGAATGTTATTTATTATTTACACTCAAACCTGCTGATGTTCGATACGACAGAATGGCTGTAGTGCTTCATCAATTTTTCAGTTTCACTCTGCTTTTTTATACCATAGGAAGGTTTTATGGACGCAGCTGGTTTTGATGCTACATGCTAAACGCACCGCTGGGTTCCAACACGCTAGCGCTGTTTCTGCCTGCTCAATCTCAGCCTCGTTCTCAAACACGCTCAACATCTCCACAT